GAGCTATTTTTGACGGAACACGACCTGGTGTGGATACGAAAAGAGCCTAAAAAAACTATTCGAAAAATTGTGCAAGTGATTTATTGTGTCTGCAAACCTTAGCCGATCGCGGCTGATTGTTTCCAATCATTTTTGGCACCCTTGATGGACTACAAACACGTGATATGGCATTACTTCGTCTGAAAAAAAAAGCATACAAATAATAGAAAAAAATTCCACAAAGTCTTGGATTGACAGAGACAGTCACACAACAAAATGCGAAAGGCAACAATCAATGCTTACGCAGGACTTTTGTGTAGCAAAAATTCTTCACGTTTACGTTCCTCCAGCTCTTCCTTCTTTTTAAGAGCCTCGGCTTTTTGTTTTTCTTGCATCTCCCTCTCATTGCGCCTTCGTTTCGCCTGCAAAGTTTTACTTTTGAATTGTGAAAGTATGGATAGATCCGAGCGCAAACAAGTGCAAGTTGATGGCGAGATTGCAGAAATAAGGCTTAAAAATGTATTGAGTGAGTCCGCAACTGCAGATGCCAGAAATTGATTTTAGTTCTTTCAACGAAACCTCCAACTCCAAAGAAGTTTTAGATTAAAAAGGTACAACTCAGCATCTCGCTTATTACCAATGCAATATCGCTCCATATTTAGTCCAACACATTCTTTCGGAAGTGTATCAATTACCACTTTGCTTAAATCTCATCATACAACTAATAAAATCAAAAAAGACAGTTTATGGATAGCTGAACATACTCTTAACTGTTTTTCCTCTCGCTCTTTTCGGAGTCGCTCTGCTCGTTCTCTGCATTGTTCTTCTCTGAGTTGAGCTGCTTTCTCCTCTTTTTCCCTGCGCAGTGCTTCTGCTCTTGCTTTCGCTATCTGAGACAACCACTGAGATTTGACTTATCGCAGACATTGCATCAAGTAGAAATTTGTTTATGAAAAGAAAAAACATCAAAGTTATCATTCGCACATTCACTTGGGCAGATACTTATTTTTACGCCTCTTCTCTATTTCCCTTCCTTCCCCTCCCATCTTGCCCTATTGGCAAGAAGGACACCTTCTTAGCGCTCAAAAGTTGTAAATTAAAGTAAAACCTTTAGAAAACGGCCGGAAACACCACTGGCGACAAAGGAAGGCCGAAATCGACTTCGAAATTCACTCCAAGTTTGTTTGTACTTCTTTAAGTCGCCAATAGACTATCTTATCTCACAAGCCTCAATCAAATTTTCACTTGTCATCTTCCTGGTTGAAATTTTGTATAGCTTTCATCCACTCTGGCTCAATTCACTCAAAACTACTCTCCATGTAAACATCCTACTGCAGAAAACTGGCTGAATATGCGATAATTCTAGAATCATTCTAATTTTCACTGCTTTCAACAGTTTCAAGTGTGACAGAACTAGGAAGCTTAAAATCGATATCGAAATGCAGTAATCATGGTAGCTACCGCTTTGGCATTGGGAACTCGTGAAGGACTTTGAGCTGTTGCATTCCTACGGGCAGGAGTTGGTACAGTGGCTCGTTTCGGGGATAGCGCCCGGGCAATTTCCTGAAAC